GAAAGTTATAAGGTTTAAGGTTAAGAACCAAAATCCCTCTGGAGTGCAATTCTAAAATCCCTCGAGCTAAATCGACCCCGTACCTGCAAATATTAGATGTAGTAAATATGAAATTAACTACTCAGTTACCATCTTGAGTGCTAAAAAGGAAAGTTAATAGACATAATAGACATAATCTCCATCTATTCAGTACATCACCTCAAAACATAAGGCAACGGAAGCTTTCCTCCCTTACGGCGAGTCATTGTCTCCCCAATGGAGCCCTCATAAAATTTCATTACAATACATAACTGCAGGCAAAATAAGAGGACAAAAAATTTTCTCAGCAAGAGAATCATTGACCAACCACCATCTAGCGAATCAATATTATCCATATTAGCTGCAACACTAACCTTTCCACTTATAATAGAAATTCCCTGTAAAGAACAAATATCATCCACACCATGGCACTTGGAATATAAATCATCAAACTTATCCAACAAAGTCCTGGTATCATCTTGCTTAACCGGATGCAACATCTTGATGGCAACTTCATGGTATTGATCATAATCGTTTGTCGAATTATGATAAGTTGCTAACCAAACATCGCCAAAAGGCCCCCTTCCAATTCTATGCCTAAGTTTCAATACTGAAGGGTCAATCCTTGGAATCCTCTGATTTGAAGATGAAACCAGGGTTTTATGCTGCCCATCATCATCTTCAAGAAAGTCATACTCAGAGAAACTGGCGGTCAGAGCGTCCACAACTTTCACAGCCATTCCTTCAACACAGAAATTAAAAAGAAAAATCTTTAGAAAATACCCATTAAAAGAAAAACATACAAAAAAAAGGCTAACTGGTACCTCAAATACAACCTTAAAGAATCGGTGAGTTTCAGAGTGGGAGAACTTACCTCAACTAATACCAAACTCGAACGACGTCTACAGAGTTGAAAGAGAAGGGTTTTGAGATATCAGCGAATTCAGATGAAATAGAAAAAACGGGACGACTTTTGAGAATTTTAAAGCTGATAAATTGGCAATTAATAATTACTGGGAAAGGTAAAGAGTGTGAGCAAGGAAGATTATTCCGGCTTTTAATGGTGTTTTTTTTTCTAAATCTTTTTTAGGATAAGATCAAATGATATTTTAATTATTAAAATTTATCAAATTGTTAATTATAAAAAAATAAATTTATTAATTTTTTACAATAATTTAAAAATATAATAATCATTTTATAATATTTAAAAATCAATGATTATGATAATTATTTTGAACATAATTTAACAATCTGTGTACTTTACCCATGTAGTTATTATGGTGCCATTTAATGAGTCAATGGCCAAAAAAGATGGTTTGATTGATCTTTCACTCTTTCTTGTGTTATAATTTAAATAGAAAAAATAACCTCAGTGATCAAAAATTCCAGATAATATACGATTTTGATTAATTTTTTTTTATTTGCGAAAATGACCAACAAAATAGCAATGCGATCTCTTATTCGCATTGCGATCTCCACTATCGCAAATTCGCGTTGCGATAGTTGAAAATCGCGTTACGATTTTTCATTTCGCGTTGCGATAGTCTACAGTTGTCGTTGCGATTTTTCAAATTCATTGCGATTTTCCAAATTCGTTGCGATTTTCTAAATTCGTTGCGATAGTCTACAGTTGTCGTTGCGATACTTATAGTTGTCATTGCGATTTTCCAAATTCGTTGAGAAAATTCGTTGTGATAGTTAAAAAAAAGATTTTGTTTCTTAAGAATTTTCTCTAAAAAGATAGTATCCGCGCGGACGTGTCGAAGTTTTATTATCTAAACTTTAAAAAAAAATCAAAATTTAACATTAAATTTTAAAAATAAGTACTAAAATGAAACAAACATAAACTTTAAGTATGATTTTAAAAAAAATTAAAAATTTAAATACTAAAATAAACTAAAACTTATAGTTTGAGTACTAAACACGTAATTTACCCTAGTATTTATTGGGCATCCAGTTCTGTATCTTCAAGTGGAAGTAGAAAAGAAAATATAATGCGTTTTATTTAGGCATCACAAAGGGCCTCTTAGTATTTATTGGCGATGACTTCCACACCCACAACTTGAGCTTAGTGACTTGAAAAAAAAGGCTAAAAAGAAAGATAATTCTAAGGATTTTTCATCTAAATATACTATTTTAAAATTAAATATTAAAATAATATCTAAACAAAAAATCCAAGGAAAATTAATGCCACAAACTCACAATTGTAACACTAGCTCAAACTCTGATAGAACTTGTTGAGCAAAATGCAAGTTCAGTAAACAAGAGATTTTGATAAATTACTCATCATCATCATCGATGACCTTGGTGCCTAAACCCTTCAATCCTTCAGCTGGGATTTCAGCAACGGTTACTAGAGAGTAGAGCTCCTCCTTTGCATCTTCATCGTCGTTTCTCTTACGAGCAATTCGCACCCTTATCCTTCTTGGAACACTTCGGATCCCTCTGCTCCAGATGTGTTTGTTCAGCTTGACATCGACTCTCACATCCTTGGTCCCCATGGCCTTTACTGCAAACTTCCTGATCTCCTTTATAGCCTTGGGAGCTTTCTTCTTGAACGTGCTGCATCCAACAACATCAACAGGAAGACAGTCAACTACACATTATTCAACCATTTCTTGGTTTCATCACAACTCAACCGAGTCACCCCTAAACAACAACAATAAGCTTATGTCCTTAAAATCTTGGTTTAGGAACCCAAACCAAGAAGCTACAAATAAGTACAAGCTCTTAGGTAAGATGTGCCTTTATTTCCATTCAACAACAACAAAACCCTATTCCCATATATAATGGGATAAAGGAGGTAGGTTAGTAGGCTACCCTCAACACCAGATTGAGAGCAGCTTCAGTGGAAGACTTCCGGCAGTCAGAAAATTACAAATAAAGATAAAATGCAATGCATATATAAATAAATAAATACATAGTTGAAACAGTCTTCAGATGCAATATACATATGTGCGTCTGTAATGGGAAGTAATCCCTGCGTAAAAAGATCTGCATATAGACAGAAACGTAAGATCCGACTAAAATTAAAAAGAGGAAACAAGAAGAGAAAGATACACAGAAATCAACGATAGCAAGCAACGGGAAAGAAATAAGGGCAAAGATACACAGAAATCAACGATAGCAAGCAACGGGAAAGAAATAAGGGCAAATAGGTTAAAACCAAAACTAAGAAAACACTTCTCCACTACCCTAATTCTAAGCCTTCATAAATTTCAATTCTAATATTCCTTCAACATATTTTAAAACATTTCAATTCCCCAAGCATTTTCACAGTAATGATAAACGTTAGAGAGTTTAAATCCACAATCATGAACACTTTATAGCAACAATGTGAAACTAGTACTGATCATATTGCCATAAAACCAGTCTCACAATGATTCCACAAATCTATTGCCGTTAAAAGGAACAATAATACCCATAAACGAACAGGGGGGGGGGAATCATACATAGAACAATAAATCTCACAATCATTTAACACATCTAACTCTGAAGAATGTAATTGCTTACCCAGCCAAATTAATTAGAAATAAGATCGATACACATCTCTGAAACACTTAGAAGAGTAATAGATCAAGCAACCAATTTTATAGAGCAAAGAGCTAATTTTACGACCGGGAAAATTAACGAGGGTTTTTAAGGGAAATGATGAGTTACCAGCCATGAAGGCGCTTGTGAAGGTTGATGGTGTACTCTCTGGTCACCACTTCTTCCTTTCTTCCCCTCGTTTTCTCAACCATTTTCACTCTCTCTGGAGTTATTCCTTACCTGCATTCAGTAAACCATTGCCAGTCCAAATGCAAATCTTAAAAAAAAAGTAAAAATAAAAAAGAGAGAGAATAACTAGTATTTTGTTTTAGAAATTTTTCCAGTTTTTAGATGGGTTTTCTTATTAACTAAACGGAGGTGAAGGGTGAGACAGACAGACCTGGTTTCAGGAAAGCAGAAGCTACAAAAGAGAATGGGGCAGGAAGCTCAGCTAAAAATGAAACACGAAAAACCCTAGCTTGCGGCGGTGTCGTTTAAGGATACTATTGGACCGTGGTCTTCGTTGAGCCCATTAAAATAAAATAACTTTTAATTTGTGAACTTGATATTTTTTTATTAAATCTGTTCTTGAATTTAAAATTTTAACGTGACACTCGTAATATCGTATTAATAAGAGGAAAAAAATAAAAAATTCAAATATTAATGCGGATACAAATGTATTTGAGATTAGAAAATAGTGAAACTTTTATAATAATCACAAGGAAAGGAGAAGATAACTGGCCTTTGCATCTCTACCATAAACATTTTGCTGGAAGAGAGATCTCAAAAACTTAAACTGAGAAGCTTGTGGCATAGGCAGACTCGGTCCTGATATTTTAAGGGTCTTAGGTCAGAAGTGATGACAATAAATAAATGGGGGCCCATATTTAGATTTCTCTCATCATTAAAACGGGAATTATTGAAGCCCACTAAATTATCATATTTTAGAGTATTTGAAATAAAAAATATATTTAAAAATATTTTTTAATTATTAAACTTAAAAATAATTTTAAAAATGGCCCTCCATGCTTGAGCCCTAGGCGATCGCCGCCCTGGGCATAGGAATCACTGTAGCGTACTGGTTTTTGCAAGGATAAGGCAGTATCCTTTACAGTGCTGACTGAGCAGTTGAAGGTGTCGCAGAACCTCTAAACCTGGACCGTCCTTCATCTTGAACCTGCAGAAGGACATGCTTGAGTTTCAGCATTTACAAAGCCAAAGCTAACAGTCATCCACATAGAACATATAATCTTTGTCCTTTTCTTTAAAAATAGTTTTAAACCCAAAGTACTTTTGAACTTTATGGCCAAAACCGTCGACTGAATGTACATAGTTCTTGTGGATATACTTGTCCCTTAGACTTGAGACAGCATCACTGAAAACCAAACTCTCAGATTAGAGTCATCAGTAAGTCGCACAGAAAACAAAAATTTAAAGACAGACAGGCGAACCACCTTGAAGGAAGTGTCAACATCACCATAGTAGACCCTTGATTGGTAGCTTCTCATAATTGTCTCCAGCCAGAAATAATTTTCCTGAGAGACACAGATAGTGAATGAAATTAAGCATTTAGAATTCAGTAATGCTATATTGTTTATCATTCATAGGTCGTTATCTACAGTAAATACCAAGCAGTAAGGTCAAATACAGTGAGATACAATTCTGCAATGGGCTACCATCCTTGAAACTGCGAAGACTAGCACAAAAATTTCAAAACACAACACAAAAAATTTAACCTGCAGTCCATCTTCATGGGCACTCTGCTCAATTTCAAGCACGGTTGCAACATCCTGATCTGTAGGCCCTTCTTCTTGAAGACGTACTACTTCATCCAAAGCAAGATCAACCTGTTCCGCAACAGAATGTGTGAGATCACTACCACCTAGTCACTACAACCAGGTAAAGATAGAAAGGGGGATACATACCAACTTTGAGGACATTTCTGGATCACAAGAAAAGTTTATACTTATATCTCCACAAACATCACCAATTCTAGAAGGTTTATTGCCACCAAGAACACAGAAACACATGCAGAGTAAATCTGGTACATAAAGAAAGATTATAAAATATTAGCCGAAGAATAATTAAACAGATAAATACAAATCTCAGGAGAAGTTCATACCTGCCCATACTTAAAATGAAGAACTTGCAGTAGTTATGTTTCAATAAGTTTGCCCGGGAAACCGACACATTGAATCTCTTCTTCCTGCCATATTAGTTTCCAACCGAAAGGTGCACAAAGTAAAAGAAAATGTAAGTCAAGATTTTCATTTATTCCTTTGCCAGATTACATGGACCTGTAAGAGGAAAAAATAAAAAATAAACCTCACATGCCGTTGTCCCATTATTCAACACCACAGGAAAGCATAGCTGGACTGAACATTGTGCTTCTACCATGGCTCTGCGTACCACCTGTCCACAATTACAACTGTGTTAGAAAGATTTGTTGAATGCCAATAGAACTTATGTATTATCCTATATCAAAAGTCAGTCAAATATGCACATTCCTGAGTGCTAAATTTTAAGTCAAGAAAAATCTATTGACAGCATAACTGACTCCACCTAAAGCTTCTTGTCCATGCATCGTGACATTGTTTATCATCACCACTAGATACAGAAGTGCCTACCTAATTACGGCTTTGGGAAATTTAAATGGTAATCCTTTGAGATCATCACGGTTGTAAAGAAATATGTCTTCCGAAGACTTTGGTATTCCACCCTGTGCAGATAATTGTAACCTGTGTTATCATAAGAAAAGATTAATGTAGATCAATGTCCCTTAAAAGATTCCCAACCTACCAAATATTGCAAAATTAGAGGAACTGCAATCGAGGGATCAATATTCCCAGCTATCACAACTGTAAAAGTCGATGGGTCCTTAAAACAGCTGTTGAAGTATTCACATGCTTTTACTAGATCAACTTTCCTCAGGTCACTTATTCTAAAAGGCTGCAAAAGAAGAAATAAAAAGAATGTCAAAGAAGGCACAGCTGCCAGAAAAAGTCGGTGATATTGATATTTAAAGCATGATATCATGCATACCCGGAAAAAGTTTAATTATCAAATTTATACTTTACCCTAATATTATAGTTTCCTGATGAATTATTTATTTATCAATTTAAAAGAAAAGGCCAAGGTTCCCCGTAATGACTTGCATATGAGAAATTAGAAAGATGAAAAATAGTCTCACCCACTTTCTATTTTTTCTTCAAAGTCGTCAAACAATCAAATAAAGAAAAGACCAACAGGTCCACGTAACTTGTAAGCAGTCGGCTGATAAAGATTTATCATTAATATGTTCCAAGCTGCTTTTTTGACAAAATGGAGGGTAAATATGTTACAATTCTTCATTAAAAAAATACAAAAGATTACGATTATTAATAGGATAATTTCAAAACTAAACATAAATATGGGTTTAATGGTATGTAGTTTTGATTTTATGTACAAGTGATTGAAATTCATGAACTTGAGCTTGTAAGGTCGAATTCGAATCCTATCACCATCTCTCTTGTTGGGCAATCTGTAAATTCTTATGTAAATTCTAATTGAATCAATTATGCCCTGGTCCTAGATTGGAGATCCATCCTTGACTTAAACTTTTTTTTTTACAAAAATTGAAATTTTAATTTAATTCAATTTTATAAACAACCATTAGTAACGTAACACCATTTTAACATTAGATATTAAACAAAATTTCTTCCATATAAATTACATCAAATCAAAGCTTATGTTTATGTAATTTAAAAAAAGTTTATGTTTATGTGATAATCACTTGCTAATGTTATAAATCGTGGAATAGTTTGCACAGCAATATTTATCACCAGTCTAAGAAAGAATCGGATAAAGGTATCTTGCTGTGATCTCTAATACATCAAATGCTAATCTTAATATAATTAACTAGATTTATTTCTTGTCGACCAAGCTTGTAGAGCAATAACAAAAAAAAAAACTCCATCGAAATGAATTATAAATGGACGCTAAATCTCAAGTTCAAATGAAATGGAGGTCTGATTTAGTTGAATTTTGAAGTTCAGGCATTAGAGTTCATCATACTGGGCGCTGCCCAATCGGCTAAACAGGATGGCCATATCCATACCTTGAATCATGGTAGGCACGGCCATCTGAATGGGACAATTCCGAGAAAAGCCAACCTTGCCAGATTTTTGCACTTTCTTTATGCAACTCTTGAACTTCTCGTGGCATTTTATGTTAATCATACCTGTAAAAACGAGGGTTTTTCTGTTGTGATCAAACAATCGTGTAAACAATAAAAACGTACTGAATCGATTACACATATGAAAGCTAGGAATTTGAACCTTTTCTCTCGACGCACTCGTCGTGGATCTTGCAACAAGAGTCCAGATCGTCGCACGGTTTTTCTCCGGGACAACCAGACCATCCCACCCCACAATATTTCCCGTAGCGGATCCCAACGGCTTCATTCCAGATTTGAAACTACTTTCATCAATTAATTAAGAAAATGGAACAAGTTGAATTCTAAGAAAAATAATTAATTACAGAGATTAAGAAGATGGTGCTCACAATCACAGTTTTCGGCTACGCAGGTTCTGCTACATTTTACCTGTGAAATCATACAAATTTACAGTTAGAACAATTTGATTTTTTATGGAGAGAACCAAAGTTATGAAACTGGATGCAATCGTTCAAATTCTCAGACTTAATTGGGGGGAGAAGAAAAAAACTAGGGTTTTGAGTTTTGACATTTGAGAGCACTAGACCTGGGAATCATTGGTAGTCGAATTGACGAAGACGATGAAGAAGAAGATGGAACAAGTTGCTACCAAACGTGTCCGAGCCGGAAACATGGCACAGGGCAGCATTTCAATAATCGATTCGCCGTCCGATATGCTCCTGGTTACCTTGTCTTCCTGGAGAGTCTCTTCTGGATCGCGTCGCCCAATACTTTTTCTACAAAACCTGGCGAACCCGCGGAAGGAAATGTTGAAATTACAGGAGCTCCCCTCCCAACTTTTAGTTCCCACGCACTGGGAGAGGGCTCTGGTGGAGATATCTAAATCCTTAAGTGGACTGGGCCTGCATATCCCTTTAAATTAAGTCTTAAAACCTAGGGTAAACTGCACATTTAATACATAAACTATTTAATTTTGATCTACTTTAATATCTAGATTTTTAATTTTTTTAAAATCATACTTAACATTTAATTTTATTTCATTTTAATAATTAATCATTAAAAACTTAACGTTTACTATCAATTTTAATCTATTTTAATACTTAAAACTTTTTTAAAAATCATAAAAATTTAAAATTTAACGTTAAATTTTGAATATGTTTATTAAAATGAAACAAAAATTAAACTTTAAATATGATTTTAAAAAATTAAAGGTTTAAATATTAAAATATACCAAAATTAATAGTTTAGGTACTAAAGGTGTAATTTACCCTACAAACTAAATCGGTCTAAATATAATCGGAAACTAATGCAACTATCGGATAATGAAGATTTTTCGCAAAACTTTGGCTGTGCAAGGCTAATTCATTCCAGTTTTCGGCTAAAAAGCAGAACCTTTGATTCTTCATATGTGCAAACATCAAACGGAGAGCAATTGGGGCACTTATCACCGTACTTTAGGCAGCAGAAAAATTAGGAGCAGCTTCATCCACAAATGGATCAAAAAACTTGCTTTTAAACTGCAGACGACCACAATATCAATCAACTCTGACCAACTAGTTAAAAGCTACTACTTGAAAGGAAATGTGAACCATTGAAACTAGTTAGATCTAGTGACTCAAGGCTAGGTTGGCTAATTAATAATAGGGAATGAAACAGAATAGAAGATTATTTGAGAGAAGTTTGACAGTAATCTTGGGTGCAGTTAATTCTATGATGACGACAAGAGAACAGCATGGTTTATCAACCTATGCCATCTCAACTAAAAAAAATTTAGGCTATCAATTTAACACTTATTTTTCAGCTTCAAAAATTTCATGAAAACAACGAAATATATGCATCAAGGGTTGGCCACAATCCAATTCTGTGAACAGTGATAAGGGCATTTACATCCAACTTCCTGAAATACCTTCCAAACAAAGCTGCGATACCAGCATCTTCAACCTTCAGTTCTTTCCTGTTCTTCCAAAGATTCTTCACATAATCAAGCTCCTTTCAGAATGACTCAGTACGACCAGGGATACTGCACAAATTGAACAAAGAGTTATTTTGATATGCCATTGTGATTCCGGTTTTAGCGAGTGTTACCGCATCTATTGAGTAAACTAATATTTGTTTCTAATGGCACAGCATAGAACAAGTTACAAATAAACAAACAAGATCTAAGGAGAATAGTTATTGATTCTTTGTAACACGCAAAATAGTAAGCAACCCAAACACCTTGTTTTGTCCTTTTATTCTTCTTCTCTGAAGTTCATAGCACATCATAAACAGTCATATAAATTACAAGAATATTAAAGAAAGTGCATTCCTGTTGTTTTGTTCTCGTGAACCCAACAGTTTCCTAGTAAGTTGTAACACGAAAGACACCTAACATTTGGTCCCTTCCTCTGCAGATGTATCTAGAAACTCCATAACATGAGCCACATACTGATATAGTGATATTGAGTAACAAAATTATATATTCTTCCAAGGAATTCTCCAGAAAATGGCTTCTCCATTCTTCATGGAGTACAAATGAATTCTACCCATATGTAAATACTCAATAAAAATAAACCACCCAAAGGTCATCCAAGGTGTTTCAACTTCAACTGCAAGAATTTTCCTTCCTTTCATTATATCTAAGTCTTCATATTGACAAATTTTCTCTCACAAAGGCCATCCAAAACAATAAATTGCATACAGGGAAACAACATCATCAATGCAAAAGGGATTACTAATACCATGCACCAAGTGGCATCTAACATGCCAATAAACATTTATTAATATACCTACTAATAACCACAATATTTTAATTTCATATGAAAAACTTAAAATTGCAAGACCAAAAACGTAACAGCTCCATGCTATCACTTCCATGACTGAAACTGCATATAAAATTTCATGTGTCGCCAAATATCAAAACCAAATACTCATTTGGTTTTCATGCTTAAGATATATAGCAGGAACAACTTGATGGACATTTTAGAATACTTGAGACATATTTCCGTCACTGCAGTTTTTAGTAACTCAATCAATCTGTTAAAAACAGGAAACTTTTACCATTTAGTTATTTAACACATCAAATCTTGGGAGCTCTTGAGACATAAGTTTTGAAATCTGAACACATGATATAAGTCAGCATCTCACCATCTTTTCTACCTTGCTCAAAACCTTTGGTCAGTGGAAGAGAATACTATAAACTTGCAATCAATTTTGCTGACAAACATCAAGTAGTCTAAAATGATTAACTTGCAAACGTAATCAAAATACAATGATACATTGTGGCAAGGAAGGAAAAAAATTCAAGTACTAAATGAAACATTGTAATCATTTATAGAAACTTAAATGCCTTAAAGGAAGTAGGCGCCAATATCAAAAGGGAACTAAAAATACCTAGCAAGGCGGGTGTAAAAGAGCTGCTTAGACAACTCGCTGCACTTTTCAACTGTTGGTGGCTCCTGAATGTATTGCTTGTTCTGCTCCAACAACTACTTGTGGTAAGAAGTTCCATGCTTGGCTACAAGCTTCGACGCTTCAGAGGCCTTAGATTGAAACTGCAGCAGCTTTGACGCCATCAACAGCTGAACCATGCATAAAATACAAAACCAATTATTATAAAAATATTTTTTCCGCGAAAATGCCTTGTAGACAAGTCGCAAGTAGAAAGAACATAAAATCAGCTCACTAAACCCTAAAAATTAACACTAAAAGCAATCAACAGCGGAAATAAAAGAATGCAATCAACAAGATGACGATGAATAGTTATCGAGCTCTAGAATCAATAGATCTGAGGGTATAAAGAGTGCTGTGAAAGATTTAGAAATCAAATACACCGTAGATCAACGCAAAAGAAGGAATCTTACCTTTGATTGGAGCAAAGAAAGATATGCGTTGACGGGAAAGACGCGAGGGGACTCGTCTTGCTTCTCCCGCCGCTTATCTTGGAAAGAAGAGCGAGACACTGATAGAGTTTTATGCGGGATCAGAGGATGACCCTTTGGGGTTTATATGAGGTTAGATTTTAATTTTGTGTAAATTCAAAGGGTCGTTTCGGAATTTCAAATAATTGTTTGCTTTTCGAGCCTGTATTTTAATTTATGTAATTTACATGGTTTATTTTACAGTTTCCAATAAGTTTATTTTAAGATATATATAACCGTTCAAGGTATGGTTAGAACAAAATCTCAAGAGCTCTGATGGCTGTTAATGAAGATGGTTGCTCTACCAGATCCGCGGTTTATTGCTGGAAATACTGGAACACCGTTGCAATCTGATTTTTGACCCCAGTTACGTCCAGCGTAGATAATTTGTTTCTCATTGCGACAGAATAACGGGTGAATTTGTTGCGGTCATAGTACCTGCTACATCCACCTTGCAGGTGAGAACTCCATTAGCGTGTTGTAAACCGAGTGCTGGATGGGTTAAAACTAACTCGGACGAGTTTGTTCGGCAAAACGGTAATATGCCAGAGGCTGGCTATTTGTTATGAAACTCAGAGGGAACCTGGATTTATGTTTTTTGTCGCAGTTTGGGATGATTTTCAGTTTTTGTGGCTGAACTTTGGACAGTTCACGACTTACTTGTGCACGCTTGGCGGCTGGGTTTCAGGCGAATCGAACTGGAAACGAATAATCTTGAGATCATAAAGCTATGGAATCATTGCTCGGAAGCGTTAAACGGAAGCGCACTGGTTGAGGCTATTCTCGAGTTTCAAAACGAAATTGGAATATTAAGGTTTCCCATGTACGTCGAGAACAGAACAAAGCTGTGGATTTTCTGGCTACCATGAGTCTAGGTGCGACCATTGGATATGTTGATTTCTCAGAACTCCGGTAGGGATGATTGCCATATTGCAAGAAGATTGTTCTCAAAAAATAATAATTTAATAACATTGATGCTATTAATAATAAGTCGTGTAAATTGATGAATATATTAATATTTTAATTTAAAATTACATCTATTTATGGGGATTAGGTCTTCGGATTCACCCTAAGTTTGGGTATTTGCTCAGCTATCATGGCTGGGTTGTGGGTTGTTCATGACATCTTATGGCATGCATGGAGATTAGGGTTTAGAATGGTGGAAATATTTTTAAAATAATAATTAAACTTTTTAAATTTTTATACATATCATTAATCACTCTTGTTTGTGTAAGTTATTAAACTATTTTTATTGGTTAATTTATTGATTATTTTAGTCACAAATTACATCATTTATCCTATTTCGATATACTTTCACTTTTATTATATTATTCATTTTAATCTATTTAAAAAGATTTAGTTTGAATAAAAAAAATGGGATCGCTGGCACTCCCTATGACACAGCGAAAAATTATCCGACGATCTCACCAGTGATCTAAGTATGAAAGCTCGAATTCAGGAGGAAGTGATGCATGATTTACCTTGTGTTCCTTGAATAACAGTAAAATCGGCAGGATAGTCACGAACAATTCAAATCCTTACCCTCCAAGAAAATTTCTCGTCCTCTACTCAATTCACCCGATTGATAGTTGTTAAAAATTGTTTTGAGACATATCGACAAAAAGATAAGAACGATTGCTAGACCATCATATTTGTTATATACTGCTGTTGCTCTAATCCTTAGGGTTCTTACGGATCATTGGCCTCGTTGGCCTCTTTCATGTTTCATTTGGCTCTATAATTTTACTAGCCGATTAAATGATGTCATTCAACTTGTAATATTAAAATCAATATATTATCCATTTTAATATATTGATAATATATTAAAATCAATATATTATTCAACTTGTAATATTTTTGTGACACAAATTGATTTAATTATCGTGGACAATGGTTTAATATGATGCAAACTGAAGGGAATAGCTTAATCGATCTTCTTTTAATATGATTTCTTTTACTCCTTTAACCAACTTTAAAAGGAACCAAATCATAACTGGACGTTGGTGCTTATACGACATTTTTATCTTGGGTTCATGATTGACTCGTGAGCCACGAGGGCTGTTCTCAGCCGCCCCTGGTCCAATAAGATGTTGGTGATTGATTGACTTTTGACTTGGGATATTGTTCAAATTGTCACCAACGACGTTTCACACGTGAGGCAACCTTCGTCTACTTCTCCATTTTTCAAAACTAAATTGGCAAAATTCCTCCTGCAATTGGGCGTCGAAGTTCGTCAGATTTACTTTTTATCTATTTTTTTATTTAATGTGAATGTTACGGTATTCGTAGGGAGACATCGATAACATAATACATCTTCAAAAAAATGCGACGATCACAATGTGTCTCTTGCTTTATTTCCACGGCAATCTTGACATTTCACTTATGTGAAAATGGAAAGACTGGAGAAAATATATTGTGTTCTTAGCATCTTTCACAACACTGTAGTGATCACACCATTTAAAAAAATAATTCCGACGAGACTTTATGGAGGTCAATTATTTTTTCCGACGTCCAATGCAATCAATTTTGTCAAATTATATTATTATGATTTTCCCAAATTAAAAATTAATATTAATTAAACTAAAAATAATATTCTTTATTGATCTTGATTGATGTAAAATTAATATAATTAATGACAACTGAAGTTCAAAAAATCCCTTAATTCATGCAAAATGAGCACCCAAAACGTTATCTGTGGGATGAGATGGTTTGATTAACAAAATAATTAGCGTCTAATCACTGCAAGGATAAAATGTAATCATCCCCAAAAATAATGACCAAAGTCAAATGCAATATAAAAACTATATAATTATCATCATATAATACAAATATCACAAAGTGCTTCCAAATTACACAAACGGAAGAGACTCAAGGGAACTTGCTTCACCATAAGCAAGAAAACAAAGTGGGATATAATCATATAACATCACCTTCCACCTAAACAAGAACACGATCAAAACCGGTTTTAATTATACAAGACACAAAACCCAGGCTATTATGTCGTTCAAAGAATCTAAGTCTAGTTTCTTCTTCTTTGTTCCATGAATTTATGTATTCTTTCGAGGGCAACTTGGAGTGTCTGCTCGCTCATGTTGGCAAAACAGACCCTGAACCACCCTGGTTCAGAGCAATGGCATGAAGAACCAGGCGATATGTTTAGTCTAACTTCGTTCAATATGATGTTCCAAAGAGCCAATTCGCTTTCTCTCGTGGGTTGTTTCAACAATGGGCTGAGATTCATCCAGCAAAACAACCCGGCATTGCCTTTCAAGCACTCGATCCGGGCATTTTTCAAACCTTTGACGATCATATCGTACCTAATTGTTAACCTCTCTCGGTTCGTCTTTAAGTAGTTCTCGGTGAATTCCCTATTGGACAACATGCAGGCCAAGAGATGTTGTGTTTGAGACGAAATCAAAGTGAATCTCGACATCCTCCTGGCCGTGGTGACAACATTGTCGTTGTAGGAATATATTGTCCCGACTCGAAAACCGGGGAGGCCGAGATCTTTCGAGAGACTGTAAACGATGTGGACTCTCTCGGAGTCTTTGTAGCCACGAGTTTCGAGGACTTCAGCAATGCTGATGAACTCGGACGATGAGAATGTCGACCCGGAGTAGATTTCGTCCGAGACGAGGTGTATGTTTTTGTTTGTTGCGAAATCCAGAATCTGTTCCAGGACTGATCTTTGGATCTTTGCACCTAAAGGGTTCGAAGGGTTTGTTATTAGTATTCCTCGAACGTTCAAGTTCATGGATGCTCCACACCGATATGCAGCTTCCATGACTTCCGGTGTAACTTGGAAATTGTTTGAGCTATCGCAATGGATCGGGACAATTTTCACACCGGTTCTCCACCTCAGATCTCTGTCGAATCTGAACCAAAAAAAAGGGTTCCAAATCAGCACTGGTATCATACACATAAATGGAGCTGGGAACATGAAATTGTTATATTCTGAACTCGTTCTTAGTTCTTACCCTGGGTAGTATGGAGTTGGAACCAGCAAAGCATCGCCAGGATCTGCTAAAATGAAAGTTAAAAGCTCATTGGCTGCGGTTGCACCGGCAGTCAAAACGATTCTATCAGGGTCGAATTTCGCTCTCCCTCCTCTAATCTGCTCCATGAAATTCGCCATAGCCTGCCGGAAAGACTTCAATCCATGGTAGTCTTGGAACAAAGCATTTTCTCTGAAACCAGGAGCTCCTTTGCCCCAGCTTGATGGTTCAGAATGCTCTTCCAAGTATTTCTCCAACAAATCAAACGAAACCTGTAAGAAGAACAAGAAAATCATTACATTCAAATTATAAATATCTCTTCAACTCGTTTTGGTCAGCCGAGTGGCGACACTTACTTGATTTTCAGCCAGCCCCATCTGTATAACTCCCCATGGGTTGTTTGATTTATCGTAAGGGTTTGAATCATAAGTTTTCCAGCCACCAAAATACGGAGAGTCTTCCCCATGAGTTTCAGAAACTGCAACTTTTGACAGTCCCACACTGGGTTTCTCAATCTCAATAGCCATTTTTTCCCTTCTAAACCTTGTTTTTGTACAAAAGAAGGAAAGGATAGAAGAGAGTGATGAATGAAAACCTTTGTCAATGACTCGCATTTATATAAAGGATCCAATAACAACTTGCCTGGTTTCTTTCATTCTGCAAAATATAAATCAATGATTGATTGTATAGTGTAAGCAAAATCAAAGGTCACCTTTTGCAGATAGTTTTATTTAACTCAAAGTGACAACTGTTAAGCTTCTGTCAACATGTCAAATCTTTCTTTATCTCAATCTCGATTAGATCCATACCAAATATGGTGGTTGATATAGCAAGGTACGTGCCTTTTTTTTTGCATGTAATTCCCAAATGATTGTATTTTTACTAATTAATTACTCTCTTGATTTAAGTATTTCTGATTTGATTTTATGTCAAATTAGTTATATAATGTTTTATTGATTTTATGTCAAATTAGTTATAATTGAAATTGAAGTGTTTCGAGATTAATTTTTTATAGTTGGTCATGATTCAATTGATTTTAGTGGTAGGTCTTGAGTTCGAACGTATAGATTAAACACGATTAATAAAAAATGATATGCTTTGAACATTAATAAAACCTCAAAAAAAAGTAAATAATATATATGGAACCTCGTTAATTAAAACCAAATCTGTATTAACATGAAGAGTGCACATATGTTTTATTATAAAACATAATTATGTCGAGAGATATTTAAGAGTAGTTAAGTTCTGATGACCTGACAAAGATCCCAATTTACTCAAATATTAAGGTTCTGCTTTGCAAACAAGGTTTGGACAAAATAGAAGCTTTGAAAAGATCCGAAATATGGTCCCTCCTCAACTGATGCATTAGTTCCAAGCAAAAACATAATTAATTTCTTCCTCCTAATCGTCCAGTTAATGATACTCTGATTGATCATCAGTCAATGCATATACTTAGAGCAAAATACTTTACATTATCCGCTGAAAGTTAACCAACATCGTAAATGGCTAATCAGAGACATTAATCACTTGTGTGTTTTGTTTTTCGTTATAAACATGTTGGTATATTATTCCGTTATGTAAGGATTAAGATTTTGTGTCAAGATAGTGTTTGATTAAAGAAGTCAATAAACGAAAACAAAACAAGAAGAATATGCTTTTCTTCGTGCACGATCATGGGTGGAGATCATGTGCATGAATTAAACAGCATGAGATTCGCAATTAGATTGCATATTTATACCACCATACATAGCAGCAACGCAAGTATAGAGAACAAAATATGGAGTAGTGGCTGGTGACGACTGTTTTGCGACTCTGGTCTCTAGGGGAGAGACAAGTATCAAGCGATGATTGTGGACAAATTCAAAACCCAATCTTTTTTTTTAATCTTTGTTATTGTAATAATGGCGTTGTTGTTGTGTCATATGGATTTTGGTTTAAACATGTGATAATCTTAAATAGAGAATGTGATTATAAACATTCATGTTTTTAAATTTTGTCAAATGTTATTTTAGGAATAGACGTATCAATTGAATCCATTGAATAACATCAGTAGTAAAAGATAATTTTGTTATTACTAGAGGTCTTAGGTTTGAACAGTTGCGTCAATGGGATGTTATGTGTTGTCAATATGTTCAGAAAGTTCTGAACATATATTACCTTGTAATACCTCATACTATATTAAAAAATGATAAACTACGTATTTTGTACCTAAACTATTAGTTTTGATCCGTTTTAGTATCAAACTTTTATTTTTTTTAAAAAATCATACCTAATGTTTAGTTTTTGTTTCATTTTAATACACCAATGTTAAAAACTTAATGCCTCAATGTTAAAAACTTAATGCGTTTAGTACCTAAACTATTGATTTTAGCCCGTTTTAATACCTAAAGTTTCAATTTTTTCATTAAACTTGGAGCTGTAATTGCTTAAGTTTAATGAGATTAGTGGAATACAACTGAGAAGCAATTGGATATGGAAGAACCCCAGAAGTTGGGATTAAGTTTAATAAAGGAAAATGACAGTCCAATTGGCTTTATACCGAACTCACAACTGGACGTACCTCAATGACAAAAAGGACATTAAGACAATTAATTTAGTGTACCATAAAAAAGTAGTACTGATAATAAGCTTGATAAGCTCATGGCGAAGTAGGGTTCCGGGTTCTAGCACTAACTCAATCAACTGAGTCAACATCATATAGTTAAGTAAGGGCCATGTTTTGCCACATCTCGTGCTTTGAATTTAGACTAGAAAGTGTAAAAAAAGAAACAAAAGTATGTTCTTCAAATATATATTATGATGTTGCTGCTTCACCAGACGCTTTTTAACCTTTGACAGATATGGGCTTCAATTGATACTAACGCCGACACGCAGTTAAAATGCATGTGTGAAATAATTTTCTCAATCTCAAAAGAAAAGTGTTTCTGTCTATGAATATATATATATATATATATATATATATATATATATATATTAAAAACAATAACATATTTATCTTATTGTATTTTCAAGTGTTTACTTTCTATTTAATAAAATTAAAAAAAATATATATATATATGTATTTTTATTTTTTACTAATATGAGTTATTATAAAATAATATTTACTTTGTGGGTTGCATGAATTACGGCCTATGTTTTCAAGGGAATGATTTTTTAGTGCTAACAAGAGGGCTATTTTTGGTTGGAGTTTGCCTAAAGTGTTGGATTTAAGGGATGAAGCACAACGCCTCTTAGCATCTACTATTGGTCTTCAAAGTGTTACATCGCAGTCGGTTTGGGACTGTATTCGTTCTAGGGGAGATAAGGTTGGATGACACAAAACTCTGTGGGTAGATGGCTATCCTTGGAAGGCTTCTCATCAAAGATAAGCTTTTGCAAATGGGGATTGTTGTGGGGAGAAATGTGTTTTCTGTAATGAATTTGGAAATCAGGAACCATTTGCTCTTTGAATGCTATTTTGTTCAAAGGATATGGAAAGCTATTTTGGTAACGTGTAACCTCCACAGAGCTGTTATGAGTTGGGAGGAGGAGCTTGAGTGGGCGTCTTCGCATCTTAAGGGTAAGTCTTTAATTTCATTTATCCTTAGAATTGCTAGGAAAGCAGTTGCTTATTGTGTGTGGGAGCAAAGAAATAGCAGGCAGTTTAATAATTTTACTAGGGACTGAAAGGTGATTCTTGGAAATATTTGTCAGACTGTGAGAGTTATACTTGTGAATAGGAGAGTTGATAAGGATGATACAGTCAATTGGAACCTCTGTGGAATAAATTAGTCTAAGGATTTTCAATCCCAATCTAAAGAATACTAAGCGACTGTTAGGTTCAAGGATTGTAGGATTCTAATAGGAATGAAATTCACATTCCCATGTTTGGTTGGTCGGGAATCTCATTCCCGGTAATGTTTTATTATCAATAGTAGATTTTTTGGGATATATTACCGGGAATGTCATTATCTCACTTTCCTTAGATATTGTTGGATTACCGGCGTTTTGGACTAAAATGCCCTTAAAATTTATTTTTTCCCAAAAATATCCCTCTTCTATCATTGAATAATAAAAATTATACGAATGTTAAATTACAAATTTATCCTTAAATTATTTTAGGTTTATAAAAAAAGTCTACAATTAAAATTTTATATGAAGTTCATGGGTTAAAATAAAATTTTACCATTTTATTAAACATTTTTATATTTTTAATTTTGTAAAAAAATATATAAATATTTTTCAACTTATTAAAAAAATAAATATATAATAAGGATAATTTGGTAAAATATACATTTCAATAACATTTTATTCCTTTAACCAAACACGGTAATCTTACATTCCTACTAAACCAACCAAACACAAAATACAACTAGAGATGGCAAACAACTACAATTTCGTGGATTCCGCACCGCACCCGCTCCAATTGGGGCAGGAATGGGTATAATTTTAACGGGTAGTGGTCGGGTGTGGATTTAGAAAGTGATATCCGTCGCGGATAGTAGGCGGGTAATGGGTTTGAGACATTACCCGCCCCGCATCCGCCCGCCCAGCTAAATATCCGCCCCGCCCGCCCACTTTCTATTATATATGTAAGTAATAGTGAATTTAAATTGGAGCGCTCTCAATTGAAGGAAAATAGAGAATGATGATTGTAATACTGGTGTATCGGATATCACAAGTATTGCCTAAAATTTTAAAATGTTGTGCCAAATAACAAAAACATTATGTGTTTGTCATTTATGTTTTTAAACTTTAATTATGTCTTTTATTATGGTGTTTTATGTACTTTAAGATCTATATTAACACTAACTCAGATAATCCTTGGATTATTTTATTATGTTTTTTAATGGACATGTTTTTTTTTATATTTGTTGTTTATATATAACTTAAGTTTGCTTTCAGGCGGTTCTAGACGGGTACGTCACTAGTAGGTAGTGGGTGTCGGGATTAATTTGAGAATGTACCCGCGTGGACGGGTGTGAATTTGAAAATTTGTACCCATCATGGGTGGTGGGCGGGTGGTGGATTGAAAAATATGAGGTGGGTATGGGGATGGGGTATCCGCACCCGACCCGCCCGTTTGTCATCCCTAAATACAACATTCTTAGTAATCCTATTCCCTGGTAATCTTATATTCCCACTGGCAATCTTACATTCCCACTGATAATCTTACATTCCCACTAGTAATCTTATATTTCGTGAACTAAACGCACCCTAACAAGATTCTTAATTAGACTCGGATTTAAAACGACAACTATTCAAATAAATAATTAAAAATATATGATGAAAAACTAAAATTATTTGTGATAGAAAAAGTTACAATATTATTATATTAAATAATTATTAATTAAAAAAAATAAGATTCTCAGCGTGTTTGTACGAACACGTTTTGTGAACCCCCATAAAAAGCATGCAGTGGTCTTCGAAACATGCTCATCATTGTCCTCATAATTTTAGCCCCACATTTGGTACCACGCGATATATGTTCTTTGACTTTTTTATTTTGTTGTTAACTATTCTTACAACTTTATTAAATACGATCCACCGGAATGACTGAGCTCTTTTCTACTATATCTATTTTATAATATGACAAAAAATATTAATATATGAGTAAATTATGCGTATGACCATTCAACTATTGATCTTTTTCATTTTGATCATAGAGTCAACAAGCCCTTAGGGTTCATCAACCAAACTATCAAATATCAATTAAATCCGCTCGTTGGATCGATAAATTTCTCATATTATTGTTGGCTTAAATGTTATCATCCAGCCGTTTGCCAACCAGGCATATATGGTATCACGATCATCCGTGTGCATCATTAAGTGACATTGGGACTCTTGAAAACATATAGGGTTTATGTTGTATATGATATTGAATGATCTGACCTCGTAACTCGACGAAGCTTACACATGCTTTGCCAACTTGATAATTAGCCGTAGACTTATCGAACACCCATTTGACTAGAGAAATTACTGAAAAAGTCACGTATGCAAATCGAGTTATCAGTTTTCTTCACGTTGTATGGAACCTAATATGACAATAATCGACAAAGAATTAACCAAATCGAGTAAGAAAACATGCATGTTCAAACGAATTTTAGAAAAATATAACATTCATAGAAGTAAGGGGATTTATTATTCAAATATACACATTTCATGTTATTTATAAATATAACATCTTTTAAATTTATGCATGAATAGAAGTAAAATAATCGTTATTGTTCTTTGAAATCCCGAATTCGAATACATATAACACATATTTACTCTTCGTTAGGTAACATATTAGTATTTGTTCAAAAATTCCCAACCATGATAAATGCTCATACCTTTGACATACGCGGTGCTCGAATTTAAGTTCTTAAAAGATAATAATAAATCTCTTAACTATTAAAGTTGATTGGTTCGTATATTTCAATAATGAAATTCAAGTAATATGAAAATGATAGACAAACTCAGGAATCTAGAGCTCTTGCTCTAAAAATCTCTCAATCCAACCCAGGGAAAAACTAAATTCATGTCCTAGTTATCCACCATGAAATTAATAATTAGATACACCTACCTATATCACCATCACATCTCATGTCATCAAAATCCATAGACATTTTAGATTTTAGACAGCTCAATGAAGCAACTTTGGTCGGTCCCTTTTAATCTATCCTAATTTCTCTGCGATTTAATGGGACCATGCGGGGTTGTCTTAAAAATGACCGACTAATATACGGTTAAAAAATGGTGTGACTAAAAATTTAATAAGATAATTAATAAATTCGGTAAAGCGCTATTTATTATGTTAACAGACTCCTAATGTTGTAGGTATAAAACATGAAAAATTATTAAAAATTTTGGTAATCATAAACTTTGGTTATCAGTAGGTATCGCTACATATATAAGTGTTCATACTTATTTCACGGTGGAAAACATTAATTTAGTATATTTTGAGTGAGTTTTAAGATATTAATTTAGTAATTATACGCGTCTAATGATTTATTTTTATGTTACGGTATATATTATTATTAAATTAAAAATAATAAATATAAATATTACATATTTATCATTATCTTTGGTTAAATTTAAATTCTAAATAATATTTTATAAAATATCTAAATAATCAAATAATTTTGTGTAAATGAAATTATTAAATTAATATTGTAAGTGGAAAACATCACGCACCATTAAAATTTTTTGAAACATAAATTACATAACTTTTAATAAAGTATCGATATATGTACAAAAAGTATCAATACTTTTAACATATACGGTAGCTCTTTACCGGTTTTGTCATAATGAAACAGGTTTTATCATGTTTTTACTTGTTATATCGTTATGTATCGATACATTTTTATAAAGTATAGATACTTTTAATATATCCGATAGCTCTTTACCGGTTTTGTCATTATAAAACTGGTTTTGTCATATTTTTACCTATTATATTGTTATGTATTAATACATTTTTATAAAGTATCGATACTTTTAACATATCCGGTAGCTCTTTACCGATTTTGTCATAACGAAACTGATTTTGTCATATTTTTACCTGTTATATTGTTATGTATTAATACATTTTTATAAAATATCGATACTTTTAACATATCCGGTAGCTCTTTACCGGTTTTTTCATAATGAAACTGATTTTGTCATATTTTTACCTGTTATATTGTTATGTATCAATACATTTTTAAAAAGTATCGATACTTTTAACATATTCGACATCTCTTTACCAGTTTTGTCATAATGAAACTGGTTTTATCATATTTTTACCTGTTATATTGTTATGTATCGATACATTTTTGTAAAGTATCGATACTTTTAACATATCCGGTAGCTCTTTACCGGTTTTGTCATAATGAAACTGGTTTTGTTATATTTTTAACTGTTATATTGTTATGTATCGATACATTTTTAAAAAGTATCGATACTTTTAACATATCCGGTATCTCTTTACTAGTTTTGTCATATTTTTACCTGTTATATTGTTATGTATTGATACATTTTTATGAAGTGTCGATATTTTTAACATATCCGGTAGCTCTTTACCGGTTTTTGTCATAATGAAACTGGTTTTGTCATATTTTTACCTGTTATATTGTTATGTATTGATACACTTTTATAAAGTATCGATACTTTATAGGCACTATTACTACTTTTCTTTTAAATTCCAAAAGTGTCGATACTTATTTAAATGGAATCAATACTTTCAACATATCCGGTAGGTATTTTAATGTAATAGGTTGCGCATATTTTATTTTACCGTTTACATTATTAGTAATCTTTAAACAAACTGATAGGTATTTTAATATAATATGTAACACTTATTTTTTTTACCGTTTACAATATTAGCAACCTTAAAAAAAACCGATTGATAATTTAATGTAATAGGTAGCGCCTATTTTTTTACCATTTACATTATTAGCAACCTTCAAAAAACCGATAGATATTCTAATGTAATAGGTAGCGCCTATTTTATATTTTCGATTAAATCATATAACATTTACGGTAAAAATTTTAACCGATCACTTGTTTAACCAATCACATTTTTTAAGCCGTTTTTTAACCGCCTGACAACCAAACTTCCCGTACCATGCAAGATAAGAACCTTAAATTAATTGTCCACCGACTCTATCTGATTGATTGTTCAGTGTAACGAGGCAGGATGATGAGATGATGTAAAAAAATAATAATTT